GCCTCCTCCGCCTCCTCCGCCTCCTCCGCCGCGCCGACTCCATCGCCGTCGTTTACTCCGTTCAAACGCCGATCGCTCACGTGGATCTACCTCCTGGACCTACAGAGGGCAGCAGCGTCGGAGCTAGCGGTGGGTGAGAGCAGCAGCAGCAGCAGCAGCGCCCCCTGCTGTTACTACTGGTAGTTAACGTCAATGTCTTCGCACTAGAGTTTGTCCGTACGTCGAGTTCGAGCTCGAGTTCGAGCAAGTATAGACCTTTCTGCGGCCACTGTCGGAGGTGCGTAGCGGTAGCGGTGCGTAGCGGTGTGTAGCGGTATAGGTGCGTATCGTTTCGTAGCGGTAGAGGTGCGTATCGGTGCGTAGCGGTAGCGGTGCGTAGCTATATTTGGCTGCATAACTAGTCGTGCATAGCGGTGCGTAGCGATTTCGGTGCTGAGACTGCATTACGATGCATAGCGGTGCGTAGCATTGACTAGCGGCAATAGACTAGTGCTGGCACGATCGCCATCATCATCATCACGGTCACCGCCGCCGCCGAGCCAGACTCGTAGCGACCGCGCGCAACTTCGACACCACCTGGCGGTGCGACCGGCGCCACCTGGTTAAAGGTCTATAGCTGCGACGACTCGCTAGCCGCCCTAGTGTTACACACGCACGACCGCACGCACGCACGCCACCTGGCGGCCGCACGCGCGAACCACGCACTCGACAGCGCCACCTGGGTTCGATTTTGCCGCGCGCGATCGGTGTGGACGTGTGAATTGTAAAATTTTTAGAGCGAACAATCGCGCGAGATATGGTCAAAGCCGAACCGACAAACGCAGCGCACCCTCTGGTGGCAACAATGACCGGTGCTGCCCCCTCGGGGACGAACGCGAGCGAGTCTCCGGCGAAACGAAAGTCCGTCCGCAGTCCGACGGCGAAGGGCGAGGAGAGAAACAAGCGAGCGTCCGAGCGGCGCACGCCCGTCGTCGCCGCGACGATGCCCAAGAAGACGGACGCGGGGTCGCGGGGTCGGCGTGGGACGCGCGCGTC